ATTAAAATGTTAGCCATATTTAAGGTTCATCATCTAACCATAAACTTTTTTGGATATGTTTATTGAATAATGTAAAACTATATTAGCTTCACAAAATAAAAGTTGTTACAGATGCTCCCCGACTTACGCAAGTGTTCCATACCGGAATGCCTTCCGTAACTTGAGTTTTGCATAAGTCGGAAACATATCTCCGACCATTACGCCAAAAAAACCCACCCCACCTCTTATTTCTAGCTTACGGAACTTTTTCTGTAAGCTTGGAGTTGCGTACATCGGGTTTACGTAACTTGGGGAGCGTCTGTATATGTATATGTTGTTATATGTACTTCTGCCTGGGTTCCCTCACAATAGGTGCGATAGGCTTTTAGAATCTACACTTCTGCTGTATTCAACAGTAACTTCAATGAGCCATTGTAGTTAAGTGGAGAAAATATCCATTTTTTTCCCCTCAGTCCACATATGCTCCACTCAACTTCATTGGGTGTCGTAGCTTTTCTTGAATATGGAAGAAGACACTATTACATTAGCAGTGTTGGACGTGGATGGCCTCTCAGACTTTGCTTGAAGAGGGAAACATAGCGGATGTTTAGATATTCTCTCTCTTACTGGGATTATTGAAGTTCTATATAGTTATTAAAGAAGAAAGATATCAAAAACATTAATCTGAGAAACACCAAGATAATGGTTGTGCTTCCCTGCATATTCTCCACTTCTTCCATTTCAGCATGATGTTGGTGCACAGTACACTTAACTCCTAAAGCTTAGAATGAATGCCTATGCTTTTTGAAATCAGTATTCAGATGGTATACAGTATTGGTTCTAGTGTTAACAGTTCTAATAAGGAGCCACTAAAATCAGATTGAAATTAAAAGGTGAGTGGAGGAAGACAAGTTGGCAGCAAAAAGTGGAACTTGATGTCTGACACCTTGCAAATAATCTGTCCGGTAGTATTCTTTTTTTCAGACTTTGGAGTCATGCAATATTTAATCCCCAAGCGCTAAAAGGAAATATTTTTTGAAAAGCCCTATTGATATAACTGATTTACTGCAAGGATTTTTATGTATTTAAACTTTTTTTACTACACTTGAATGTGTGTACAAAGATTTCCATTCACATTTTTATAGGTGTCTTCACTGAACACTTTTAAACTGTAAAGAGTCTCAGATTTATCCTTTTTTACTTTCCTTGAAAAAGTAAATGTTTTAAAAATTCTGCAAAATTCTGCAAATGTTATTTCTCAGATAAATATGGAGGCTCCAGCATGGCATTGGGGAGCAGAGGCCACTGGCTGCACAGAGGTGGAAGATCACTTTGCAGCTCCCCTCCCAGGACACAGATTCAACAGGGAGGCTGCACCCAAGCCTTACACAGCACAAGGGCTGGGTCTGCCCAAGAAACAGCCCAGGTCCCTGCCCCTCTGTGCCGGTGCACCAGGTTTCAGCAGGCATGATCAGCAAGGGAGGATCTAAGTGTGGGGGGATCTAGGTGTGGGTTGAGAGAGGGTTCTGTGTGGGGCAATCTGGGTGCAGGTGGCTTGGGGTGAGGGTGGGATCCAGGCACGGGGGGATCTGGATGCACAGGGGCTTGTTGGGGGGTTCTGGGTGCAACAGTAATGAGACTCTGCAGGAGAGTCCAAGTGAAGGTGGTTGGGGCTCAGCAGAGTGGGGTGTCCAGTTGCTGGGGGAGTGGGGCTTAGTGGGGTGGGGATCCAGGTGCAGCTGGTTGGGGCTCGGTAGGGTGGGGATCTTGGTTTGGGTGGCTCGTCACGGTGGTCCAGCTGCGGGGGAGTTCTGGGTGTGGGGGGAGGTGAGGCTTGGTGTCAAGGTCTGAGTTTGAGGGGGTCTGGATGCATGGGGGCTGTGTGGATGGGGGAGCAGCTCCCTGTACAGGGATCCCTCCCCCTGCAGCTGAGAAGCATGCAGGAAGCACGGGGAAGGGGGAGTTTGCAGAGCTTCCTACAGCTGGGGAAGAAATCTGGGAGTGGGTCTGACCCGGCCCTGGATGCTGCATAGGGGAAGAGAAAGTCCCCTCCTCCCCAGCCCAGCCAGGACTAGCAGCTGAGCCCAGCGCAGGGTAGGACAGGAGCCACCAGCTGGGTCTTCCCCAGTCCTGCCCCACAGTGATTTACCTCTCTGCTGGCTGCCCTGGGCACCCGAAACATACTGCTGGGGAGGGTCGCATTACTGCTGTTGTGGCTTTCCTTTGCTTCCCCATCAGAAAGTCATTTTCTGTGGGGAAGCAAAGAAATTGGGGGATATATATTCTGCGCATGCAAGGTGGCACAGAATTTCCCCAGGAGTAAGTACCTGTGTCTGATTATAAACTCAAATATCTTTCACTGGAATTAGAATTGTGCCAGCTGCAATTGTCTTTAAGTATATTTGTAGTTGACGGGGTACTATCAGGATTTGCTTTTCCAGTATTATATTTATTTTCTTCTCTGGTTTGAGGTACCTATGTTAAATTTAGTGTTTAGTGTCTTGCTCTCACATCTGACTTCTAGATAGGCGCCACTTTGCTGAAATGTTAGGGAACAAGTTTTATACCCTAAACAGTGGTCCCCAAACTGTGTGGCATGCCCCCTTGGGGGGGCGTGGAGGAATGTGTAGGGGGGGGGGGTTGCAGCAGGTCTGGGCCAGTCCCCACAAGGGGAGGGGAGGGGGTGCCACCCAGCCCCGCTTTGCCCTCGGACCAGCTGCGACCCCAGCCACAGCTCCACTCCCCTCCAGCTGCGACCCCAGCCACAGCTCCACTCTGCTCCCTGCTCTGCCCTTAGCCCCAGCTGCAGCTCCACTCTGCTTCACCCTCTGCTTCACCCCCAGCCAGCTCTGCCTTCATTCCCTCTCCGCCCCCAGGCTAGCTCTCCTCTAGCCCAGCTCCTCCCCCATCTCCAGTTCTGCCCCCAGTTCCACTTTCAACTGAAACTCCTCTGCTGAGCCCGTAACGGAGTGGGGGCGCAGACAGATTCCATTACTGGAAAGAGGAGGCACTACAGGAAAAGTTGGGCACCATTGCTCTATATAGGAACATTTGTTGTTTGTATTGCATTAGTGCCTAAGAGCCCCAATTGTTGACCATGTCCCATTCTGCTGGGTGCTGTAGAAACACGGAACAAAAAGATGTCCCAAAAAGCCATCTAAGTAACATGGCTAGTGATTCCAGTGTTCAAATGCTGTAAAGCATTGAATTCTCATTAAAAATCTTTTCAGAATTGAAACAAAGGGCATGGAGAAAGCAAGAGGAAAGGAAGGAGTTCTGGATTTAGTTCCTTATTACCTCAGATTTCATGTGTGATTTTTGGACAAGTTGCTAAATGCATGTGTCTCAGTCTGCCATTTGGAAATAAATTGTTATACTAATTTTATAATCTAATGTTGGGAAGGTAAATTCATTAATGTTTGGGAGGTGCTTAGATTATGGTGATAAGATCTCTACCAAAGTATGTATCATGATCAGAACAATCTCATTTTCAAAGTGAGATTCAGCTAATGTTATTTATTGAATATTAACTATGTAAAACTTCTCAGTTTTGTAAAACAAAGAAAAGTTAATATTTGTACCCTCACTGTGGCTTCCTCTCCTAAAGTGTGAGGCCATTTGGGTCCCTTGCTAATGACATACAAAATTCTGTAGTTATATTCAATAGGAGCTGTAATTGCTCAGTTCATTTAAATAGAGAAAATAAAAAAAACTTAAGTTTAAGCCACTCACGTAGTAGGTGCTAAGTTAGTATTTCTTGCATTGAATAAAAACAATTTTTGTATGTAAAAATATTTTACTTACATTTCTTAAAATTGTAATGGTATTCTTTTGTACTTCAAAAATAGAAATGTTTGTGCTTGTGCTTTGATTCATAATAAATTCTTCCTTTTGCAGTAATGCTCTTTCATGAAACAAAGTATATTTTAAAAATTGTGGACAATGTGATCTCAAGGTTAGCCAGACACTGATATTTTATTCAAGGACTAAATTTAGTGTGTCATAAGAGTTTTAGGTTTTTGCTCACAAATGTGCATTGTAGAAATTTCCCAGCAGGAGAATTGCACCTGAGCTGTTGGTATTGTACATGTCTGTCACCTGGTAATTCTTACAGAAGCCGCAGTAGAGTGAAAATAATGTTGTCTTAGTTTCACTGTGCTGGAGAAGTCTTTTCCTGCAAAATCAACCTGGAAGCAATCCGTTACTTCAGAAGATTATCTAATTTGATCCTATAATACAGTTAACTTCATAGGTAATGTGAACTGAGTTCTTGGGACTGACTATATGTACAGAAATTTTGAGGTTTGATACTGTCTATACATAAATTTACGTTTTTGACAGACATATGGATTATGATGTATACCGAATAGTTCTGTCACTTTGTAAATACACGAAAAATCAAGATACTTTCTTAAAGTCCCTACTGTTGTGTATGCATTTGCAGACTTTTAAAATGACCAATTGCTGTTTACACTAGACAAAAAAGGTGCTTGCCTGATGCTGCATAATTCTGTATTGGTTTATTTGTTAACATTTCTATTTAATCATATTTTGTTTTCAGTTGTACTTGACAGAAAATTAAATAGTTAAAAGTACTTTAAAAATATTAAGCTTGTTACATTCTAAAATTTTACAAGTATTACCTTTAGAGAATGCTAAATTTGCCTAGTTATGCATTGAAAAGTCAGGAAACAAACATAAGGGTGTTTGCACTACATTAACTCTTCCCTGTTATACATGTGTGTTACAAAAGCAAGCAAGTATAATCATATAAACATTTCTCAAAACTGTGTTGTTTCTGCAACTTAAAAATATTATAGATGCTACATGTGTATCTAATCCTTGTGTAAATGGATATTTTCATTATCATTGTCCAATATGTTTAGTGACTTAAATGTTCATATCAGTTCTCTTCTTTTTAAGATTATTTTATTAATTCGCTCAGCGCCTGTGGACTGTGTTTTCTTTTCAATTGGCAACATAGCTTTCTTCAGCAACTTACTAAATTCATGGTTAATTTCTTAAGGAAACCCCTTTCAAAATGTACTGTGCATGTACAAAGTGCAATCTTCAGTGCATAATAACTGCAAAATCAAATCCTACTTTTGTCAGAGCTTTCAAAAGCATTTCTCAATGAGGAATATTTACATGCCAAATTTAAACTTTCTACCCCTGCCATTTGGACTTCATAGCTGTCCAAAAAGCCTGAAGGTTTTTTAATTCTGAGGTTAGTGTTGTTTTCCCCTACTGTTCTATTAAATAATAGCTAATCCATCTTTGCTCAAACTTTTTTAAAAAAACTTTCTGCTTTGGACACAAATTATGGAAAATTTCAGCTTTTGGGGTGAAAGATTCTGGAAGTCATAAGCAACTGAAAATTAAGCATTTAAATTCTAACCCTTCAACAACCTTAATAATAGCATTTGCTAGCGCTCTCACCTTAAGTATTTTTAGGGTCGGACATATAATTGAGAGGAAGGCACAACAGAGTGTGACTTGGCCACTATTTTAATACATACCATTTTTCTGTTACTGGATGTGAATTCCCTTTCTCTATAAAATTAATGTCTTGTCTGTATTATTTTAAAATATCTTTATTTTCCAAACTTTTAAGAGCCAGTTAGAAATGGCAAAAGTGAATAAATATTTGCTTGACTTTAACTTAGTAATGAACATCTTGCAGCATTATTATTGCAATAACTTAAGCATATTATTTTTTCTAAAATCTGTCAACATTCTATAAAAAGATCAGTCTTACACTAGCAAGCCTTTAATAACTATATATTTTGCTCTGCTTACAGTCATTTTAATTTTGTTCTCCTGTTCAGGTAAAAAATTTTGCTGTTATTTATCTTGTGGATATCACAGAAGTACCAGACTTCAACAAGATGTATGAGTTGTATGATCCCTGTACAGTCATGTTTTTCTTTAGGTATGCCTTATTTCTACTATATAATTTAATTTGATGTATTGGGGCTTATATGCTATAATTAAAGGTGTATTGTATGCATTTTATATATGCTCATGTATTTTAAAAAAAATATTTGAGGGTATTGTGCTTATGTACAAGTAATTGCATTCAAGTTCAGTATAGCTCTTCCCCAATTAAGCTAATACATCTTAACACCTTGTACCAATTCTTCAGTAATATTGATGCCCTGACCCATTGCCACTTAGCACTTCCAGGCCTGAGAATTAAAAACAGCACTGTTATGAACCAAGATGATACTGCAAATAAAGCCTGGTCTACACTAGGGAGTTAGGTCAGTAATACTATGTCACTCAGTGGTGTGAAAAATCTGCACCCCTACACAACCCAGTTAAACCCACCTAACCCCCCGTGTAGACAGTGCTAAATTGACGGGAGAATTATCCTGTTGACCTAGCTACCACCCATTGGGGAGGTGGATTACCTACCCTGACAGAAGAACCCCTCCCATCATCATAGGTCTTCACTGAAGTGCGGCAGCTGCAGCATTTTAAATGTAGATGAACCCTAAGATCCTGACTGTGGGCTGAATTTTCACTCTAGTGCCATCTTCATCTCAAAGTACAGTGGGAAATTAAATGGCATTGTTTTATATCTTATTGTGTATTAATGTATGCCATCTGGCTTAATCAGTCTGGATAATTTTCCTCACATTAGATCCATTGAAGTCAATGGAGTATTTCCATTGACTTGGAGGAGGCCCACTGCACACAGGAAGCATTATTGCATTCACCTCTCAAGCAGAGTTTTTAAAAAAGCATTCTGAGCTTTTTTCCTTCCTGCTACCCAGCTGCACACAACACTACCTATGAAATCAGCAATTTTGCATGTTTGAATATGCACAGTAGCTGATTTTAGAAGTTAGATTTACAGAAACAAGCCCTAAATATAATTAAAATATTTACATTTAAATATCAAATGTGTAAGTTTATAACAATATTCATATCTCATAGTTGAAATGTCTTACATTTCCTACAGTGGTAGAACTGCTAAACTTTTTGCATTCATTCCTCTGTATTTGCTTCACATTTTGAAGTGTGGCAACATTTAAAGACACTGCCAACATAAAATTAAATCTTTACTGTAATTACGTATAACACCTCAAATTACTTGTGCTTGTACTTTTTGGTTTCTTGGGGAAATAAAAGTACACTGATCCACTTCACTTTGTTGTTCTCATAGACTAGCACAACATTTGAATTCTTGGCACCCTAGGGAATTTCAAATTTGAATGTCTAAGAAATAAAAAATACATCTCGTTCAAATGCCAATTAAATAAACAACACAGAGATAAAATATTCATAATAGATAACTATCCACATTATTCAGTTCTTGAACCACTGGGTCTACTTCTAATTGATAAAATATGTTAAAGGACAAATACGTCTAGAGCTTTTTAGCAAGGGACTTTGTTCAGAAATGTTATTTTTTTGTAGGGGGAGGCAGTGGGAGGAAAACATGAAGACTGCTATTCCTAGGGATAAACATAAATCTCTAAATGTTACAATCTTGGTGCAGGTCATCTTTGTATCTTTTTAATGTAACTTTAAGAACAGAAAAATACTATTTTAAAACAGGTGGGCTATCAACTTTCAACCTGAGCATGACCATAACAAATGCCATTCTGGTATTCTGCCATTTAGTGTAATACTTATTTGCAGACCTACAAGGATATGGTGGTAGAGCTACATATTGCAGGGCGCTTGAGTCCTGTGAAATATTACGAAAGAGAGTACTTTAGCATATTGACCTGTTTTGTTTTGTTTTTCTTTCCTCTTAAAGGAATAAACACATCATGATTGATTTAGGTACAGGTAACAACAACAAGATTAACTGGGCGATGGAAGACAAGCAAGAGATGATCGACATTATAGAAACAGTTTATAGAGGAGCTCGTAAAGGTAGAGGTCTCGTGGTGTCGCCAAAAGACTATTCTACCAAATACAGATATTGACATTCTGTGACACTTACCCTCTCTTTTAGTCCACCTCCACATACACATAATTATCCTTTGTATATAAAAGTTGATGATTTACATTTTTTTATTATGAACGTGTTTTGAACTCTTATTTAAAAACTTTGTAAATTTTCATTTGAAAAAATAGAAGACATGAAGTCTGGAACCATTTGATTTCAGAAATGCAATAGCTGGATCATTCCTTTTGAATTAAAGGACTTTAACTCTGCAAACGTCAACCTCTCGGTATAATATATTTTTTTAACACAATTCTATTCTTAGAAAAATATGTAAAAAATATGAGAAGTTGAAACAAATGTACATGAGAAACTTTTAGTGTAGCCTTTTAATGGATAAAAAGTAGTGCTGTATTGTTCTTGCCTTTAGCTTATTATCTTTAATAATAGTAATAATAAAAGTATTTGCCTTTTAAGGTACACCTCTTGAAGTTACTGGCTTGTCACTTTTGTCAGAGTCCTCATATTCATGATATTTTGTTCATGTCTGGTAATGGATACCAGAAACCATTAGCACTGAAAAGAGAGGGTGAAATACTAAGCAAGCAAAATTCTCTGGAAATACAGTTGTTGCATATCTTTTATAAAAAAAAAAAAAAAAAAAAAAAAATCCTTATGTTTGAAAAAAGAGGCTTTAAGTGTGATTTCTTCACTATAAAGTTATGATTATGGAATTGCTATTCTACAACTAAAGTTTAGACACTTATTATATGCATTTTTCATTATAAAACAGACTGAAAACCACTTCTAACTAAACCAGAAAAGGTCTTTTATTTGTTTGTTTGTGGGCAAATGCACCAGCCATTTTGAGAAATGCAGGTTGAACTGGTATTCCACTGGTTGTTCTAGTAACTCTGAATTGTTGCATTCCCTGATCCTCAAGAACTAGTGCATATGGCTATGAATACTTAACATACTTAGCAAACAATGAATCATTCACCATAGTTATGTAAAAATGTATTTCTAGGTGCTATACAAAATATTAAAAATTATATGAAAAGTCCTGCTAATTTTATAAGCACTGTATGAACAGGGATCCAGGGCCAAGACTATTGGGCATCTTAGAAGCAGCACTACAGGAGTCCCCGCCACACAGTCTGTGCTTGAGATTGTAGTGATTCATCTACATGAAGATTATTTTAAAAAACAAACCACCTTTTATATTAAGAAAATGCCCAAGACTTAGATATAACATGTTATCTCAATAATTTAAAATATAAAATTTGTTAAAATTGGAACTAAAGAAGTTCATAGTTCAGGTTTCATAAACATCCATAACTTTTTCCTGGTATCCCTGACTAATTTCACCCTCATCATAAACCTTTTTTTCCTCATTCACCTGTCCTCAGATACATTTTCAAATTGGACTAAAACTCTGTTAGACCATTGCATACAGCCCACAGGCACACTTCTAGTTCACCATCCTTTTGCCTCTGACCTTGTTTGTACTAACTAGAGATTCCGTGCCTTCTCATTGGGGTCCTAAGAACAACATACTTCATCTTCACCCAAATATAGTTTAGGAGCATCTCTCCCATACGACACCATTCCACTGTGAGTCACTTTATCTAGGCCAGTAGTTTTCAAACTTTTTTCCTAGCGACCCAGTTGAAGAAAATTGTTGATGCCTGCAACCTAATGGAACTGGGGATGAGGGGGTTGGGGCATGGGATGGGCTCAGGGCTTGGGCAGAGGGTTGGGGTGTGGTGTGGGGCTGGGAATGAGGGGTTCAGGGTTTGGGGGGGCTCAGGGCTGGGATGTGGGAGGGGGTCAGGGCTCTGGGCTGGGGATGAGGAGTTTGGGGTGCTGAAAGGGGCTCTGGGTTTGGGGGGGCTCAGGGTTGGGGCAGGGGATTGGGCCACGGGGTTACCTCAGGTGGCTCCCGGTCAGCGGGGGTGCTAAGGCAGGCTTCCTGCCTGTCCTGGTGCTGCGGACCGCGCTGCAGTCTGGAAGCGGCCAGCAGCAGGTCCGGTTCCTAGGCAGAGAGAGGCCCACAAACAGCTCTGTGCGGCTCTCACCTGCAGGCACCGTCCCGTCCCCCCAACCAATGGGAGTGCAGAGCTGGTGCTTGGGGCGGGGGCAGCACACGGAGTCCCATATCTCCCCCCACCTAGGAGCTGGACTTGCTGCTGGCTCTCTTCCAGGGTGCAGCGCGGTGTCAGAACAGGTAGGGAATAGCCTGCCTTAGGCGGGCAGCACCGCTGACCAGACTTAACGGCCCGGTTGGCAGTGCTGACCAGAGCCGCTACGACCCCGTGCCTTACATTCCGTGACCCTTGAAAACCACTGGCTTAGGGGAAAAACCATTACAGGATGGGGGTGTCTTATTGCTCTTTTAGGTTTGTTGGGAACTCCCAGAAAGGCTGAAGCAACCTGGCAGAAATGCTTCCAATAATCTGGAGCATGGGTATGAAGATTCTGAAGTGGTTTCAAGAATGGGGGTTTTCAGGCATCCATGTAGATTCATAGATTCTAGGACTGGAAGGGACCTCGAGAGGTCATCGAGTCCAGTCCCCTACCCGTATGGCAGGACCAAATACTGTCTAGACCATCCCTGATAGACACTTATCTAACCTACTCTTAAATATCTCCAGAGATGGAGATTCCACAACCTCCCTAGGCAATCTATTCCAGCGTTTAACCACCCTGACAGGAACTTTTTCCTAATGTCCAACCTAGACCTCCCTTGCTGCAGTTTAAACCCATTGCTTCTTGTTCTATCCTTAGAGGCTAAGGTGAACAAGTTTTCTCCCTCCTCCTTATGACACCCTTTTAAATACCTAAAAACTGCTATCATGTCCCCTCTCAGTCTTCTCTTTTCCAAACTAAA